GCCTGTCTTCAGGTTTACATCCCCCCACCAACAGCCTCTGCCTAGGGAAAGGGCAGTCTTTCCCTGCAGTGGGAACCAAAGCAGCTGACATCATTCTCCTCTCCCCCGTATGAGCCGCACAACAACCCTGTGAGGTATGTTAAGGTTGAAAGTGTGTGAATGGTCCATAATCCCCCAGGCAGCTTTTAAAACATGAACCTGGGACCTGCACACCATCTGTGGCAGTAATGGGGTGACTGGCTGGCACCTTTTCCTATCATTTTTTGCCTTGTGGTATTCTGCTTGTGGTGTGATCTGTCTTTCTTGTGGTATGGCAAGCGTCTTCTGACTGACAGTTCAAGCTTCCAAACACTGTTGGTGTGCATTTGGAATGTTGGGCCCCACCACAGCTTTATATGTAAGGGAGAGATACCCTAATTTTTCCCTCAGTTACCCAGTTTTTTCATTCTATTCCCCTAATTTTTTTCTTCTATTTTTTCTCTCTCTTTGAAAATGGAGAGATTTTAAATCCTTATAACCCAGGAGTATTAATATTGAGCAGACTGCAACAAAGATAACACTTATGTAGTTAAAAAGCCCACTTCATAATCAATGGTAGGCTTGGTAACCAAGAATACAGGAAAATAACCAGCAGAAACTTGAAAAAGGACAGAAACAAAAACACACCTGGTGATGACAGTTTCTCATAATGCAGTACACAGGTCTGACATGTTTACTACATACATGGTAATGACATGTTTACTAAAAATTCCAATATTTTCCATCAGATTACTGGTGACATGTTTACTAAAAATTCCAATATTTTCCATCAGATTTCAGCACTGTGCAGAGGCAGAAGTTGTAAATAAAGAAACAACACAGTTAAAGTGGCCCCCCTCCAGCCCCCCCCCCAATGTCTTGTCTCTAAGCGCCCCCTAGGTAACCCTACTGCCCCCAGGGGTCCATACCACTCATTTTGAGAACCAGTGCCCTAAACTGTTGTTGTTCAGTCGCACAGTCGAGTCCGACTCTTCGCGACCCCATGGACAATCTCCCGCCAGGCTCTCCTGTCTTCCGCCGTCCTCCGAAGTTGGCTCAATTTCATGTTCGTTGCATCGCTGACACTGTCTAACCATCTCATCCTTTGCCGTCCCCGTCTTCTTTGACCTTCAATCTTTCCCAGCATCAGGGTCTTTTCCAGTGAGTGCTCCCTTCTCATTTGGTGGCCAAAGTATTTGAGCTTCTAAAAACTAGGAAGGAGATTTGAATGTCACTGGAAGAGCTTGATTTCCTGTTGCTCTGCTTCAGTCACTGAATGTTAGGAGGCTTAGGGGGGTAATGCTGTTGAACAACATTTCAGCTGTCATGGCCAGTCACATTTAGAACAACCACAGTTAACCAGCCAAAACAAACATGGTTTAACATCACAGTACTGTACCTTCCAACAACCCACACTTTATTAGACAGCCTACATATAGATATTATACTAAACCAGATTCTGATAAAATGTGGATTGTAAAGCAAGATTTGTTATCACCTCTAAATGTGGCCTTTGCTTTTCAGTTCAATATAGTGATGTTTGGCAAGACTTGTGCACATCTTGCCATACATAGATCAAAAGATAAATAAAACAAGCAGGCAGATTCCTCCTTAGGACTCACATAATCCTATATTCCATGTGCAAGATCCTAGGTATTTGGAGTCACAGTAGCTGAATAAATCAAAAAGGTGTCTTGCCTGCCTACAGAATCTTTGTCATATTTTTAACAGCTTTCAATTTCTGTCTTTCCTAAATAGGTTGAGTACTGATTGAACTTCATTCTGTGTTGACTTTTAAATAGATAAAAAGTCTCCTGAGTGATGGTCTATGGCCTAATCTTTCACTGTTACAACTCAGTGCACGTTATTACACCAGCGCAATGGCCCTTGATTTTAGTCCTCTCGGCTGATAATATACCAGTACAAGTGGAGACCCGCAAGAAACTTGCGGGATGGTTATCCTATTCCTCAAGGCTTTGCTTCCTCCTCTCTCCCCCTACCTCTCTCCCCCTACCTCTCTCATACTCTTTCTCCCTTCTGCCCCCCCCTTTCTTTCTCTCTCTCCTCCATGTATGGTTTGGAGGTTGGAGTCTATGGCATTATACTGGTCTGTAGGTTCTCCCCTCCTCAAATCCCACCCTCCCCAGGCTCCACCCCTCAAATGTCCAGGAATTTCCCAACCTGGAGTTGGCAACACAATTTCCTTCCCACCCAACAGCCAGCCTACCTTTATCTGCCTCTCTGTCTTCAACTTTCCATCTCCACACCCCTCCCCCACAGCCTCTACCTAGGAAAATTACAGTCTTTCTCCACAGTGGGGACCAAAGCAGCTTACATTATTCTCTCCTCCTTTTTATCTGCACAACAACCCTGTGAGGTTGGCTAGGCTGAAAGTATGTGACTGGTCCAAAATCACCCAGTCAGCTTCCACCGCAAGATGGGGATCTGAACCTGGGTCTCGTAGACCCTAATCTGAATTGTTACATCACACTGGCTTTCATAGGGTGGCTGCTGATAAACAGTGGCAAGCAGCTGGGCCTACTTGAGTCATGCAAATCAGGTGGTATCAAGTCACCCAGAGGGTGCTGCCTAGGGATGCCAGCCTCCAGGTGGGACCTGGGGATCCCCTATAATTCCTGCTCATCTCCAGACTACAGAGATAACCGCATGGAGAAAATGGATGCTTTGGAGGGTGGACTCTGTGACATTGTACCCCACTGAGGTCCCCGTCCTCCCCAGGCTCCACCCGCAAATCTCCAGGAGTTTCCCAGCCTGGACCTGGCAACCTTATCCAGAATCCCCTGCTTTGGAGGGTGAGGCCTCTCCCTTCCCCAAACCCAGCCCTCATTACAGTCCACCTCAAAACCTCTAGGGATTCCCCAGGCTGGCCCTGGCAGCCCTTGTCAGGCCTGGCCCCAAGGCTCCTTCCCTCCCTTCCTCAGAGGCCAAAAGAAGCCAGGAAAGGGCCCTTCCCCCACCCTTTTACTGACAGAGCCAGTTAGAAGCCTCCCCCCCAATGTTCTAATCTCTCTCTCTCACTGTTGATGCCTGGAGTTAGATCCCTGCAGAGGCCATTTCAAAAGGTATTGGGGGGAATTCAACCCTCCCTGAAGGGATTTTTTTACTTCTTGGATTTTTCTGCAGACACAGGAAGTATACTGACTATGTAGGAAAAGCTGTTGGGGGAGAGTGAGCTTCCTGTTAGTGGAAATAAGTATCCGCACAACACACCCTCTGTTGGATTTAGTATATAGATATAGTATTAGTCTTTAGGGTATTTTACTGGCTTTTATAGTGTTTTATTCTGCCACTCCCTTCAGCTAATGGTAGTGTCTTCCAGTAGTCCAAGGTACCTTTCACTGGAGGAGCATGCTGCTATTGCCTGAACAAAGTGGTAGGATAAAACTTGCAATATTTTGTAGTTAATGGCTTTCGTTGATTCATAATCTTGGCCTTTACCATGTTGAAGGATATATGCAACTTTGGGTTTATGATAAGGATTTCTGATTAGACTATTTAATTTTGTTGGGAAAAAGGAAAAAGATAAACTCTTCTTCTTGTTTTCCAGCAAATACCTATAAAAGCAGGAAGTTTGCAATATACATCTTCAGAAGAATGTTTTGTTTAGACATCTACTGAAACACAAGGAACTGACTAGTGTAATGTAATGTAATTTTATTGTCATAATAAATTATATGATTTTTGTTTTCACAACCCTTCTTGTTAGATCTGAGTAAAGGTGTGACAATAGCTTCAACGGACCAAACCATGATAACGAAGGCCCAAGGAGAGAAAGTCACATTGCCATGTACATTTACTTTTGGTCCGCAAGATACAGGCTCACTAGACATAGAATGGGTATTACTGCAACCAAATGAAGAGCAAACAGTGAGTAAAAGCTTTAAGTTTTTAGCTGTCACATAGGTCTCATTTTAGATTTAAATGATTTCATCTAGGCCCTTTGACATGCTTGATTCAAGTCCAGTAGCACCTTAAAGACTGAAAAGATTTTCCAGAGTGTAAACTTTCAAGAGTCAAAGCTCTCTTCATAGGTACAAGTACTTGTTAATAGATATGCTTGTTAGCAGGCATAATGTCAAACTGTGAATTAAAATGCTTTAATTTTTCACAAAGACAGCTCCAGGATAAATGTGTATTTATATTTGTAATAGTAATATAAATCATTGACTAAAGCTATGCATCTCAGTCATGTCTGGGTATAGCTACTGCTGTATAGAGCAGGGGTCCCCACCATGATTCCCATCAACACCTTTTGTGGCACTCATTAAGTGCTTTTAAAAGTGGATGGATGGGGCTTCTGAGTGCATGGGTAGATAAAAGGGCATTCTGTTAAACAGAGCTTCTACCTGAATTGTTGAGGAGTTACTATTAGAGTTATATATAACCTTGATGCCTGATGTTTTGTGGATGGTTTTGCCTTCTACAGCAGCCATTTTGTGGTTGTGCCTACCACCCTGTGTCAAAATTCCAAAGGTGCCCACAGGCTTTAAAAGGTTGGGGACCCCTGGTATAGAGGAAAATATTTAGAATATATTCGTTTAGGCAAAACTTTGTATCTGAACTGATGACTATTTGACTGGTGACTATTTGACTGGTGACTGATGACTATTTGACTGGCTTGAAAAAAACAATTATCTTTTCCCCCCAGGTCATTATGTACAATGGAGACAGAATTTATGATAAGTATAAAATGGATGGACGAGTAGAGTTCGTTAATCCAAATCCAGCTTCAGGAGATGGTACTATTGATATCCTGAATTTAAAGGCATCTGACACTGGTACATATCAGTGTAAAGTGAAGAAACCTCCTAGTGTTCAGACCCACAGAATTCAGCTGACAGTACTTGGTAAGATGATTTTGTTGAACCTTTTGAATGTGGTAGACTTATGTCCCAACTAATTTAAGGCAACCCTGAACGGTTTTCAAGACAAGAGATGAACAGCAGTGATTTGCTATTGCCTGCTGCTGTGTAGCAGCCCTAGACTTCCTTGGTGGTAAATGAATATCTGGATAGGTGGGGGTTCATGATGAAAGTACAGCTCAAATTTTACTATAGAGGCCTTAGCTGTAGGATTAAAAATAATTTCAAATGATCAATTTGCATCATAAGAACATAAGATGAGCCTTCTGGATCAGATCACTGGCCCATCTAGTCCAGCATACTGTTTCATACCTCAGCCAACTAGTTGCCCTAGACAGCTGGACAAATGGGGCATAGAGTCTGAGGTCATCCCCTGCTGCTGCTTCCCAGCACTGGAATCCAGAGACCTGCTGCCTCTGTAGATGGATGCTATCTTCAGCTACCATGGTTAGTAGCTCTTGATGGACCCCTCTTCCATAGGTCTATTTAACCCCCTTTTGAAGTTATCTGTGCTCATGGCCATCACTACCTCCCCTGGTAGTGAACTTCACAGTTTAAATACTCAATGAATAAATAAGTATTTCCTTTTGTCTGTCCTGAACCTGTTTCCCAGCAATTTCATTAGGTGCTGTTGAGTTCTGATATTATGGAAGGAGAGAGAAAAGCTTCCTCTATCTGCTTTTTCTACCCCATTCATAATGTTATAAAACTGTAATGTCTCTGAGTAGCCATCTTTTTTCTAGACTGATGTTCCAGCCTTTCCTCAGGAAAAGTGCTCCAACCCCCTAATCATCTTTGTTGCCTTCCTTTGTGCTTTTTCCAGCTCTGCAATATCCTTTTTACAGCTATGATGACCAGAACTGCAGGCAGGCACTGTGCCAAATGCGGCCAAACCATAGCTTTCCATGGCATTACAATATTGCTGTTTTATTGTCAATCACTTTTCCTCATAATTCCTAACATGGAGTTTACCTCTTTCACCACTGCCACACACTAGGTTAACATTTTCATTGAGCTTTCCAAGATCTTTCGATCTCGGTCTCAGCCAATTCAGGCCTCATCACTGTATATTTAAAATTAGGAGTTTTTTGTTCCAGCATGCATCCCCATACACTTACCCATGCTGAACCTATTTGCCACATGTTTACCTGGTCACCCAGTTTAGAGATATCCTCCTATAGCTCTTCACTCTCCACCTTGGTTTTCACCATCCTGCATCTAAACAAATAATGTCATATGATTCACTTGCATTGTTCATTCCTGGTGCAATTTTATTCTGAACAGTTGATTCTGATAGTCTGGATGAAGTTTTGCCTAACTTGGACAAAGCTACATTACTGGGATTATGCCTGCCTCCTTCTGTAAAAAAATTCTGTCTATGCTACTTGATAATATTGCTTCAGATACCTCTTGTAATAGTGGAGTACCTAGTGCTACTAGTATAAAGACTTGACTTATAATTTGGTCAGTGGAGACAGGGCTATTTTTGGGCAGGAACGCACAGGAACGGAGTTCCGGCTGGCTCCCAAGTTGGCCACACCCAGCAGGAACTCATTAGCATAACAGGCCACACCCAACAGCAGAAACTCATTAAGATTGGCTACATTATGGGTGTGTGGCCTAACATGCAAAGGAGGTCTTACTACAAAAAAGCCCTGGGTTTTGACAACAAACAAGGTAAACAGAATAACAAGCAAAAGGTGGGTGAGGCTGGATAACCACACTTCTGGTAACATGGGGGTGCGTCCTAATGTGCTAATGAGCTGTGCTGTCAGGGGTGTGGCCTAATATGCTAATGAGTTTCTGCTGTTGGGTGTGGCCTATTATGCTAATGAGTTCCTGCTGGGCTTTTTCTACAAAAAGAGCCCTGAGTGGAGATAAGCATTTTTAATGAGCTTTATGAGTGATGAGTAGGTCTAGATAAGTGGTACTTCTAATGCCAAGAAATGATGGTGGAGTTGCACTCATATTGTTAATGAAGGAGAAAGCTTAATCTTTTTTGAAGACATTAACAAAACAACTGATATAAGCCACTACTGAAACTTTGCAGGACAAGGGAAAAAATTTATATAACAGTCTGTGGTGTACATACAGTTTCTGAGATTAATATAAATGCTAGTTAATTAATTCCTAGCTTTGAATTTATTAATAGAAGAATGCACTTTCTTTCTTAGTAAAACCAACAAATACTAAATGTTACGTTGAAGGATCTCAGGAGATTGGAACTGATCTTACTCTGAAATGTAAATCTCTGGAAGGGTCTCCCATCATTTCCTACTATTGGAAGAAAGGCACTGGTACAGAGGACCTTCCAGCCACCTTGATATCAAGTATGCTTACTTTTGTAGCTGATAAGAATACAGATGTCTACACCATATTTATTCAGTATTTGATGTCAAAGACTGGGCATTTGTAATGAAGCAGAAGAAGAATCAAAATGTTTCTTCTCCCCGAACTAAGAATATGTAGGGGAACTGATCTCTGCCATCTAGTTTCTTCATCTCAGTACATTTCAGTGACATAGAAATCAGTTGCTGTATTTTGGCTTGATTTGGTGCATTGCTTTTTAGAGCAATAGTCTGCTTTGGATATGAGCCAAGAAATGTTCTCCCAGAACCTAAGACCAGTAACAACACAACAGTGTAAAAACAATAGAAATAATTTGATAAAATTCACATAAATGAAGCATTAAAAATTAAAACAATTTATGCCCCATCCAGCAGATTCCAGACTCTGGTTAACCCAAAGGTTTCTGTAATAGCTCTGTTTTGTACCCTTGCCAGAAGGGTAGGAGCCCCTCCCCCTGACATGTTCTGGAATGCTGTTCCTGAGGCACGGAGCAGCTGTTGACAAAGTCTTATGGTGGGTCGTGGCAGAATATGCCTTAGACAATTGTAGTGGGAGGGGGGGGACTGATAATAGACCTTGCTGAGAATCAAGGCGCAGAATAGATTAATCAAGGCTCAGGATAAATAGAATGTTTGGGTGGTAGTAACAGCCCTTTTGACTAAAATCCGATTATATTAATCCAAGAAATCTGCCAAGTATCTCCAGCAGCAAAATCCCTGACATTTTTCTGATACCTCCTACTTTTTCTTGATCGGAAGGAAATAGAGATAACCCTAATGAAGAATGATTTGGCAGAGATCTGTACTTGATATTTCATTAGCCACTTCCACTTGCATTTTCAGAGTTTTCTGCTTTTTAATTTTCTAATGTTAAATCTCTGGTTTATCAGGTTTGTTTTGTGTGAATAGCATATACAGTGACAAGCATGTACAGTGGCCATGCATTTTTAAAAATTTGTTGATTCTGTGGACCCTTCATGCCCTTACTTACAGTTAAAAGCCGTGTATTACAACACTGGAGAGTTAAGCAACGACCTCCAATAAATCAGTGGGTTGAGGACCTTAGAATTTTATCATTATTTGAATGCATGGCATATAAATGACAATTGAGTATGGACTTACTTTTAGGTATCTGGAAACCTTTTAAAGAAATCTATTGTGTAGATCTGCCGCCACGCTTCTATTTTCTCTCTCTTTTATGCATGCCTTCCGCCCCCTCCTTTTTTCTTTTTTTTTAGTTCTATCTTAGATGCTGGATTTTGATTCCCCCCCACACACTTTTTTTTAAAAAAATGGTTTTTTAAAAAAAGTGTTGATTCTACAAAGCAGTGTTTTTCACACATTTCTGACCACTCTTTTATATATGTACTTATAGATTCAGATACAGGTGATCTTTTGGTGAAGAATGCCTCTCAGATTTATTCTGGCACGTACATATGTACAGCTTCAAACAGAGTTGGTGCAGATGAATGTTCTCTTGAGTTGAACGTGACCCCTCGTAAGTATTAGAAGATGATGAAGAAGCAATAACAGTGCTCAAATTGTAACAAAGAATTTACCATTAAACTGTAAAATTCCTTTTGCCACCTTGTACACCTTGATGCAAATGTAGAATGCTATTTGTTTTCCATAGATCATTAAGTTACATAAGAAGTTTTCATGATATATGAAAAGTTCATGTATCTTTTGAAGTTTAAACCAAGTGCATGAAAAGTTTATGAATCTTTTGAAGTTTAAACTTAGTGCATGTATTTATTTTAAGTATATGAAGAAAAATAAAACATGTCCAAGTAGTGTCTGCCTTATCTGTTTCTAGCTATAAATAGAGCTGGTAGAATTGCTGGAGCAATCATAGGCACTTTGCTGGGTCTCTTGTTACTGGCTTTTTTCATCTTCTGTTGCCTCAAGAAACAAAGAGAAAAGAAATATGAAAAAGAAGTACATCATGATATCAGGTATGTCATTCTGAGTACCTAAGGACATGACCTTATAATTTCAAATGACCCTTCAAAAAAAGTCTAGACATGTACGAGTTGGCTATTTTGGGATCTGTTCACAGTTTTATTTTTCTCTATATTCACTGCAGGGATGTGTGTGAAAGTTCAAAGTTGCTTATAAAAAAATTCCTTCAGTATAGCTTGAAATATTTATTGATACTTTATAAGGTTAAGGAAACTGCTTAATCTAAAGTTACTGCTATGTAGAAATAAAGTAGTTCTGACATGTTTGTAGTACTTGACAGCGGGGATCTTGACCAGTAAAACCCTTTCTAAGCAAAAGCTAGTATCTAGGAATGTTTTAAAACTGAAATCTAGCAAGCTGTCCTTGAGAGAGAGTTCTGTAAATATGGAATAATTTTATCTAGTATGTAGCGATGAACTGCCTCGAAGCATACAGGTGTTGTCAAACATTTTTAATTCCTCGTCCTGCACATTTAGGAGTGGCTCAGTGACCGCAGTGGCTCAGAGGTGACACTGAGCTGCAGACTGAAAGGTCTGTAGTTCGGCAGTTCGAGACCCAGGTGCCATGTGACAGAGTGAGCTCCTGTCTCTGGCCCCAGCTCCTGCCAACCTAGCAGTTTGAAAGCAAGAAATTGCAAGTAGATAAACAGGTACCGCTTTGGTGGAAAGGTAACAGCGTTCCGTGTGCCTCGGTGTTTAGTCATGCTGACCACATGACCACGGAAATGTCTTCTGACAGCGCTGGCTCTTTGGCTTGGAAACGGAGATGAGCACTACCCTTTAGAGTCGGATTCAACTGGCATTCAAGCAAGGGAAAACTTTACCTTTAATAGTGTCTTTGTATTGGTCAGATACTTTTGAATAGTGCTTTGTATGTTTTATCATTTGTTCAGAGATCAAACACCTTCCTTAAAGGAATTGGCACATTTGTGAAAATATTTTCTAGCAATCAAATAGCAATATTTTGCTGCTGGGAGATAGAGTTCTTCTCTTGCTGTTTTGGATAATGGAGTGTGGAATGTAGCTACATACCACAGACACCTATTGAATAGTACCTGAAATCATTACTAGTAATATTTGGGAACATGCCTTTCTTCCTCTGTACCCACAGCAGTTATTTGTGACACTAAAAACATTATGTATTTAAAAACAGACAAATAGAAACAATGCCAGCATGCTACCACTCAGCAGAAATTCCCTGACACTTTGTGGGCCTTTTGGTTGTGTCCTTTTTTTTAAAAAAAAAATCTATTTTAATCTTCTCCAGAGTGGCAGTGCACATCTCTCCTTGAAAAAAAGGGAGTGGTACAAATTACTTTCCCCTCCTCAGCAAAATGTACATCTCCAGTTTTGTGAGACAGTATACTGTCGCTCGTGATGGATTGAAGTTTGTATCAACATGGCCCTAAGAATAACATCTAGGGGGGGGTTTATATGTGGAAAGGCTCTAAGCTGGGGTTTTATTTAACTAGTAAACTTGCAAACCTGCTTTTTTTCCCCCCAGAGAGGATGTTCCTCCTCCAAAGAGTCGTGCTTCAACAGCTCGTAGTTACATAGGAAGCAATCGTTCTTCTCTGGGTTCAATGTCTCCTTCCAATATGGATGGGTATGCCAAGACACAGTACAACAAAGTTCCAAGTGAAGAGTTTGAACGTCCTCCTGTTCAAACACCAAACTTTCAACCACCAAAGGTAGCAGCACCTAATCTAAGTAGAATGGGAGCTATTCCTGTGATGATTCCAGCGCAAAGCAAAGATGGCTCAATTGTATAGTATGGCATTAATTTAGACCCTCAGCAGTTCAGTTCAAGCAGTGATTAACTTGTTCCAGTTCTACACCTTTAACCATAGAATTGATCTTTGAGCATCAACAAGTGTGCTTGGTTCACCAGCTTTGTATTGTATTCTGACCATGTGCACTAAAACCTGAAACTTTTTGAGAAGGATTTGACATATGTGACTAAGCATGAAACAGTGACAATAAATTCCAAGTGGGTTGCTTACTAAATGCTTAGAGCTGTGAGTTTTGGTTACTTAGGAGACATCTGTCAACATGAAGTAAGTGGTCTAGTGATTGTAAAATTTTGAAGTGAATAATTGATCCCTGTTGTAGTGACTGATATAATTTGTATAAAGGTCTGGAAAATTGGGGTTTGAATTCTTGTAATATAGATTGTGAACTGTTTTTCCTCAAACTTTAATCTTTTTTATGGTTGTCAGTTACAGTTAATTAGATGCAGTTAACTCTTGATGAATTTTAAAGTGGTTTTAATTGCTTAACCATGTACCAGTAGTGATGTTTCTCCCTTATTGAAGACTAGGAATAAGGCTCGTTGTGGAAATAAATACAACGAGCTCTAGAAAGAGGCTCTGGAAGAGTGCCAAGGCCTTGGACACTCAGCATCATTTTGCTGTGCCGACCTCCTCAAACCCCACCCTCTCCAGGCTCCACCCCTGAAATCCCCAGGAATTTCCCAACCTGGAGTTGGCAACCCCATCCCCTTCCCAGCTAACCATCAACCTACTATTACCTGCCCCTCTGACTACAGCTGTGATCTCCACCCCTCACCTGGAGATTGGTAACAATGGTTCCCCAGGAGAAAATGGCTGGTTTGGCAGGTGGAGTCTATGGCATTGTACCTGTCTGAGGTCTCACCCCTCCTCAAACCTCACCCTCTCCAGGCTCCACCCTTCAAATCTCCCGGAATTTCCCAACCTGGAGTTGGCAACCCTATCTTTTTCCCCAGCCAAGCATAAACCTGCTCAAACCTCACCCTCTCCAGGCTCCACCCTTCAAATCTCCCGGAATTTCCCAACCTGGAGTTGGCAACCCTATCTTTTTTCCCAGCCAAGCATAAACCTGCCATTATCTGCCCCTCTGATTTCAGCTTTCAATCTCCTCTCCCCTCCCGGAGATCAGTTGTAATTCTGAGTGATCTCCACCCCTCACCTGGAGATTGGCAACATTGGTTCCCCCAGGAGGGAATGGCTGGTTGGGAGGGTGGAGTCTATGGCATCGTATCTGTCTAAGGTCCCACTCCTCTAACATTACCCTCTCCAGGTTCCATCCCTCAAATCTCCAGGAATTTCCCACCTGGAGTTGGCAACCCTAACTCCTTCCCAGCCAATCATCAACCTACCTTTATTTCCCCCTGAGACTTCAGCTTTCCAGGGTATAAGGACACAGAGTCCACCATTTTCTCCAGGGGAACTGATCTCTGCCATCTGGAGAGCAGTTGTAATTCTGAGTGATCGCCAGCCCTTACCTGGAGATTGGCAACAATGGTTCCCCAGGAAGAAAAGTAGTCTTCCTCTGCAATGAGGATCAAAGTAGCTGACATCATTCTCCTCTCCCCCTATTGACTTGCACAACAACCCTGTGAGGTAGGTTAGGCTGAAAGTCTGTGACTGGCCCAAAATCACCCACTCAGCTTCTGCAGCA